GAGAGAAAGAGGGAGAGAGATCACACCAAGACTTTTTCATTGGTCCAACATTGTATTTTCCCTTGTATATGAAACCAGTATTTATTCAGCAAAACCAATGCAACTAGAGGACATTCTCTGCGTGCCTCGAGAAAAAGCTGGCCCATCTGTTCAAGAAGACCAAGGAAAGCACAGCTCTGAACATCTGCATTCCATTCTTCTGTGTCGCCTTCCTGTGGCTGCCGGACCCACTCAGAAAGAAGAGGCCACAAGAGCCCAGGACCTGCTTTGATGACCCAGAGCCTTTGTGTGTTCCCTGAGCCGGTACGTGCACTGGGGGTGCTGGACACAGGGTAATATTCCGCTCACATCGTCCCAGAGTGAAGATGCAGGATCCAGGGTCCCCCATCCCTCTCAGCGCAGCCTGAGCTGTTCCCAGCTCACTGCTCATCCCTCAGTTTTATTTGGGATGGGGGTCGCTCCATCACACAGTCACTGCTGCAGCTTCACAAATTCGATAATGGTTAGTGCATGGGACATCATTCCAGTTGGGAGTTCCTAAAAGCTTATAGATGACAACGCACGGCTCGTCAGTCACATTGCTTGGTTCCCCCCTCCGCCAGAACCTGAGACAGAGACAGACATGTTACTCCCCAGCACACCTTGTAGAGTACAGCTGGAAAAGGCCCCAGCAGGATGTAGGCTTGGAGGGGAGAGAGGGAAATTCCAGATGTTGATCACAGACAGAAGCAGCACTCCTCCTCCCGCTCCGCTATCCCACTGGCACCAGTCTTCCTAGGAAACCGGCCTTCTTCCTACCGCCAACACAATGGGGACCTGCTCAGTCCTGGTGGGGGGAGCTGCTCCCCACTGCTCACCCCAGGCACTTCACACCCAGCCTGCCTCCAGGGCACATTCCTCCTCCAGAAGGAGAGCAGCAAGGACAGCCCTGGTGACCTCTCGTGCCTCATCCCTCCCACAGCATCCCAGCACTGGCCCTGCCCGTGCCTATATGTGCATATGTGCACGGTGGGGGCTGTGTGGAGGTCAGGCAAGGCTGCTCATCTCTGAAGGGTTCTTCCTGCTGGCCAGACGCAGCTTCTTCTGTGCCTACAGCATTGGTGGCCATGTCCCGGGCAGATGACAAGAAACCACTAACCAGCATGGATGGGGCTGCGGGAACCCAGTGTCCTACACAGCCCTCTCCTGCTCCATCATTGTCCTGTGCCAGGGAGCCGTCCCCCGTCCCTCTCATGCACCAACAGCTCTTGAGCTACCAGGAGCCACACCAAACGCTCTCCACCCGGAGATACTCACGCTGCCGTCTCGTTTAAGGGAGTCTGGTCCACCCACCGCCACTGGCCCACCTTCTGTGCCACCAGACCAATGTAGTAGTTCTGTCCTTTTGAGGATTTTTGTAGATCCTTAGAGAGGAACTCCTGGAAAAATCACAATGCTCGTGAGGTGCAGGGCTGAGCGGAGGGCAGGAGTCCCTGGGCAGGAGTCCCTGCGGGATGGGGCTGTGGCA